ACTTATACACATATCTATACTAATATATACATTTACACACATCATACACACTGGCGAATAACTAAATGATAACATACACTTAAAGCAAATACATCCCCTTCCCTGAAACCAATAAAACTATCAAACTGCTGAAGGGAATTCAGAGTCGCATGAATTTATCTGAAAACAACTCAAAAGAGTCCGTTTGACCAACACAAGGATTGATCAAAATTAACGATAAAAAACACAAATGAAAACTAGATAAAGTTCACATTCATTAAAGACAGTCATTCACTCCTGTAGTTTACTGCTACAAACAAGCAGGATTTTTTTTCTCCTGATGATGGCTATGCTGGCCGAAACTAGTTGAGGAACCTAATTGAAATAATAAAACAAAAATATTAATATACAACCCAGTGTGTCTAAAATTTTAATCTTTTAATTTTCAATATTTTTATTGTTCAAATTATATATATATATATATATATATATATATATATATATATATATATATATATATATATTAAGCTATTAAATTTGAAGAAAATCTCCTGCCCATTCCTATTTGCGAAAGTATGTAAAAGTCATGTCTGCCTGCTATCCTGCTGATGTTAAATGGAACATTTCTAAATTAACTCGCTACTACACAGGTTAAACGTTGAGGACAGACTAGCTGCAAATGTACAGGAATGACCAATGTTACCTAGTCCTCATGCCAACACAGCACCATTTACCGTAAACTTTCTTTAAAGTTAATAACTCAAAACGAAGAATTTGCAGACATTTGTTTATATGGATTTTGTCTTTGTTTTGGTGTGGAACTCTCTCCCAAACACTGTAAAAAGTATTTTTGATACATCCTTATATATATATATATATATATATATATATATATATATATATATATATATATATATATATATATTTTATATAATTAATTAGTGATCGTTCGTTCTTGGATGAATCATATTTGCATCATTTTAAGTCAACTACAGACACACATAGTACACATAGATGCGGACACTATATACAGATATATAGATGTATGTTTATATAATTGAAACGCCATAAACTGACCCAAGTAAGCAGGACTAAGCATGAAATAATGCCCAGAAGAATTGACGTTGTCTAATTAATTACATTCTTACCAAATTTCACTCAGACTGCGATGCTCTGACTAACAAAGTTCAACATTATAACAGTTTGTCAGCTCGTCACGTTCCAGAATTTGAACTGGCTCGTCCTCAACTCTTTTGTACACAGAGGACCCGGTGGATGTCTAGCTTTCCAAACCACCAATCAGAGACAGCGTAAATTAGGGGCCAGAGGTCGTTTGCTATGAGTAGGTATATCTCCAATTAATTTGTTGTGCAGATCAAGTCGATGATTCCAGCAAGGACCACTTGATTATGGCAAGCATAACCATCTGTCAGGAATACTGCAACACCAGAGCTGTCAGCGTAAAGAGACATGGTACATTATCACGAATACGGCTAGACGGTTAGAAAGTTGTTGTGAAGCGGGGAATTGTGGGTGTATGAAGTAAGTTGGCTAGTTTTATTGAACGGGGAAACCTGGGGAGCAATGGTAGGTCGAGAAGATGTAGGGAAAAGTATGAGATGATGACGCCGAGAAAACAAAGAGGATGATAAGAGAAATTTAACTGTAAAACTTGTGTTTCCTCGAATCTAAAGCGAAATATAGACGAGAGATGGTGAAAGATATCGTCACTGAGATTAGTTTAAAACACAAAAGTTGAAATTCGAAAAAAAGAAAAAATGACGGAGAATTAAAGCAAAACGACTAGAAATTAAGTATATGAGAATAACTTAAAGATTCTAAGAATTTAATTAATGTTTAATGAAGCGTTAATATATATATATATATATATATATATATATATATATATATATATATAAGAAATATAATCTTAAGGTGTGCTATATTTATGGGATAAAGTGCTCAATATCAGTGATAGAGCGTGTGTAACCTAAAAGTGAACATAAAGTCAACACTTAGAGGCGACAGTCTGTTTCATGCTAGATGCAGTCGTCACGCCTGACGATTGCATATAGCATGAAACAGACTTCGCCTCTAAGTGTTGACTTTATGTTCATTTATATATATATATATATATATATATATATATATATATATATATATATACGTTTAGGATTGGTGTATACGAATAAATTCCAATAACCAACAAATATTATTATTAAAAAGTGTGCTCAATACAGAGTAGAGCAAATATAATCATTTATTCGAAAGTTATAACATACAAATGTTATAAAATCACTATAAAAATAGTTTCTGGTGTCTTATCGAGTGATGGTGTTGAATGTAGAATAAAGGATTTTAAAAGGTTCAAATCAATCAATTTAATTAATGTTTAATGAAGCGTTAATATATATATATATATATATATATATATATATATATATATATATATATATATGTGTGTGTGTGTGTGTGTGTGTGTGTGTGTGTGTGTGTGTGTGTGTGTGTGAGTATATGTAAAAAAGGAAAGAACCGTTAGGTTAATCATCCAAAGTTCTTTAGTATTTTTGTTTTTATTTTTTTTAAAAACACAGTGCTCGATAAAACAGTAGAGCCTATATTAGAATTATCTTTTTAAAATATGATTCCATCGCTACAGAAGTGTTCTCATGTTTTCATAAAGAGAAGCTAACAAAATTTGCTTGAGGATAAAACAGAACTAGCTGCTTTAATTTAATTTAGTTTTTAGCTTCTGTTTTTGAAACATGCGAACTCTTTTATAGCGATGGAATCATTTTTTTTTAAATAATTATATATATATATATACTCGACTTTCCCGTCGAATTCGACGTATGAGGGTCAAGCAGATCAGTTCGGAAACTGACAGCACGACACCAGCACATGAGATTTGATTATAGTGGTGAAGGTTTTGTGCAGAACCATCCACACTTTTTGAAGGGCCGTATTTGGTGCCCTACGTGCCACAGGGAACCCAAACGACCCTCCGCTGGACTTGAATTCAGAGCTGTCCTTGTCATTGCCATCCAAGGCTATAGAACCTAGTCTGACCTGCTATTTACCCATATCTTGAGAGAGAAGAAAAGGTTATTAGCACGGAAATGAATGTAATGGATTCGACTGGAATTTGAACTCGGCTCTCTGATTCATCAATCCAAGCCGCTATCGATTACCCCACCATGCGTCGGCATTTTTTTTTTCTTTTTCACCCATGCACGTTGTTCGAATTTCATTTTGTTGACAGCACAGTATATGTGCGAAAAAGGCACCAAGACGCAATTCATTCTGCCAGAAATTCAGGAACGACATGCTGTAATTCTTGGTAATCGTGTCGGAAGCTATAATGATTTCAATGTGTTTGGGTGGTCAATATGAGCGCAGTACAGAGGATACGGAAATAAATGTTTCCTGGTGGAGATTTAGATGCTACGACAGCTCGGGAAACACATTCTGATCATTTTGATAAGAAAAAAACTCCAGAGAGGCCTACATCAAGTGCCTCGTGGATGTAGTGCTTCCCTGTGTCAAGAGGGTGGTTGTTGCACGACCTTATGTGTGAAAACAGGACTCTTCACCATGCCACACAAATAAGATAACCCAGTCATGGCTGTTAGAAAATTTGTGTGATCACCTCACCCTTTACATCTGTCCACGTAACTCCCAGACTGTAATCCTCTTGAATATTATGTGTGGCACATAAAACTCTTTGTAACATCAAAGTTGAAATGAAGGCAAGGCTTATGTCATCATTCACTAAATTAAAAATAAAAAGATCTCCCAGAAGAGATGCAATAATTTCCGAAGTCGTCGGTTGTGACCAATGGCAATTATATTCAATGAATTTACTCCTTAATATTTCAAAATATTTTTTGCGACAAATGGCAATTATATTCAATGAATTTACTCCTTAACATTTCAAAATATTTTTTGTGGCCAATGGCAATTACCTGTCTATATTTCTGAGATGAGGTATTATGTACATTATTTAATTTATCAAACATGGCACGTGGAATTAGAACAGTCTACCCCAGTGAGCGAAATAAAGGGTTCGGTTCGACATTCCAACCACCTGAAGAAGGCTGGAGCGTACAACGGCCGAAACGTTGTAATCGATATGGCGAAAAAGATGAGGACAATAGTCCGAATAAGGTAAATAATGGCAATTATATTCAATGAATTTACACCTTAATATTTTTTGTGCCATTTTGGTAAATTTGAACGTTTAGGTCTTCTGAAGATCGCACGACTTAAACCATCGTTTCCTACGATTTAACGAGAGTAAGCGTTTTTTTGATCGGTCTAGGCATTCTGTTCTTCGGACACTTCGGTATTTAAATTTGCCTTTAAGGCTTTTTTCTTTCTTTATTCAGTATTGTTGTTTTCATTCAAGAATGTATCTGGATAAGAGTTTTAGTTTTTGGCAAGACGTCCTTTGATTCCTCAGTTTTTTTTTTTTTATATATATATATATATATATATATATATATATAAATGGATATAAATTCCGACAAAATGTACCGTTGAATATGATAGACAAACAACGATTTGATGAATCTTTTTTATTGCTTTCTAGTATTCTATATTTTTCTGTTTAATGGAAAGGATGTTTAAAAATACAATATTCACCAACACCCCACACACACAATATATATATATACATGGAAAAAATTTTTAAGTCTTATTCAGAACATTTATGGAAAAAGTTTCAAAATCAGAGATAGAGCCTATGTAAATCTAAAATGGTCACATTGTCGTCAACACTGGGATGCAATAGACTGTTTCATAACGACACAATCGTCAGGTCATGAATGTTTGTGATTAACTTTCCTGAAATGAAAATTGCGTCTAAGGAAACAGCCTGTCGCCTCTGAGTGTTGACTTTAATGTTCACTTTTATATATATATATATATATATATATATGTGTGTGTATATATATATATATATATATATATATATATATATATATATATATATATATATATATATAGATATATATAGATAGTTAGATAGATAGATAGATAGATAGATAGATAGATAGATATGAACAGACTGAGATAGATACGATAATACCGAAATAGACAGATATCCTGAAATTTAGAAAAGTTGATTTTCATGTATATCTTAGCCCAATTTTGACGCTTTAAAATATATGCTTTAGTGAGAGGAGATGCTTTTGCAAATCCCATTTCACAAAGTATTCTACACCTTTTGTCTTTCTTGACTCCCCCAATTCCAGTCTTTTCAAAGATCTGAGCGCTGGTCAAAAGTGTCTGTTTGGCTATAACTCGCTTTAGTTTACGTTCATATTGAGGAAGACGTTTTTTCAAGCCTTTTTTTTTTTGCTTCATGTTCTCAACTTACTTTTATGTTCAACAGCCTTCTTTATTGTTCGATGATTTCTTCAACGTTCCCTTGATATCTCTCATGAGGAGATTTCCTCACTCCGTAACTTTGTTATTTTCTGTTTATCAGCGATTGTTAGATCCTTCACTTTACTTATTCTGAACATATGGAAAAAAATTATTAGATTGTTAGGTTTTGCTCTAATATTAGTTTAATCTGCATATTAACTTCAGCCAGTCCATTTTCGTAAATTCACATATCTCAAAAACTAACCTAAAAATTCAAATATCTCAAAAACTAACTAATAATGGCGAAAATTTAAGTAGATATTTTACTAAGTGTGGAAATGGACGAGTTTAAATTTGACAAATATTGGTTCAGTTTTTTGAGTTATTGAGGTTTATTTGATTTCCATAATAACTTCTGATAGGCTGTATCTTGAAATATTTATGAGCTTTCTGATTCGAATTTGAACTTCTCCTATATATACACACACACAGATACATACACATGTGTGTATATTTGTGTCTGTGTGTGTGTGTACATGAAACAACAACAACAAATAAAAGCTTATCTTCTCTGATGCATTTCGTCTTCAGATGGCCTTTATCAAGCAAATGTAAGTATTTTCATTTTGTGAGAAGTATATGTAAGCAAAAATAAAAATGTTTGTTTTCCAAAAAATTTAAATTTAAGAAATCTTCATAAATATACATTAGGCTAACTTAAATCAAGGTAAATTATGGAAGATGTTAAGTGACATAATTTAATGCTAATAAATATGTCAGTAGATAATGCTGTTGATTTTTTTCATAATCTGATTAATATTATTATAATTTTAGTTCCAGATCATTTTAAATATTATTTTAAATAATAGTAATAGTACTGTCTATATCTCTGAAATAACATATTATGATTACTTGCATTACGTACATTATCGGATTGTTATTCTCATCTTAATTGTTACATTCAAAAGATTTCGTCCAATGTTCTGGTCTTCTTCAGGTGATATAAAAAAAAAATCATACACAGATGTTCTCAAGGACACGTGGATAATGACGTTGGTTAGATCCAGTGTCTAGAACCAAAGAATTTTCAGTTCAACACCAGGCCATGGCAGTGCTGAAAAAAAATTGGAGCGTTGAATTAAAGGGAAATAACTGAGACATCAGGAAGAGGCATGACACGAGGAACTAGAACAATTTCCCTCGTTGTCCGAAATAAAGTTCGACATTCCAATCACCTGAAGAAGGGTGTATCGTACAACAGCCGAAACGCTGTGAAAATGAGGATAGTCCGAATAATATAAATAATACAAGAAAGATATAAATTTAGGAGTTTTTTTTTATTTTTTAACAATTTTATTGTTACATCTGTTGTCTTTGGCAAGGAATATTTCTTTCAGCAAATATCTCTTCTAGTTTTTATTTTAGCTATGCCCAGTTATTCCTCGTCCCGTTTTCATTGAGTTCAAGTACACAAACTCTGACCCAAGGGTTCACCGTGTAACCAAATTCCCGAAACACTGATTTAATTCCTTATTGGCAGGACTATTAGTAGCAGGGCGATTACTCTACACCCGTAGAATAAATAAAACGTTCAGTTCGAAATTACTTAGGTTCCCCAAATCGATATACGTGTGATGGCACAAGCATGATAAAAACAGCAAAGATGAGCATACTAGTCCGCTTTTAAATAATGTGAATATTTCTAACTCAGCATTCCAGCAACTGAAACAAAAACATACTTTGTTATTTTTTTTTCATGTTTTGATTGGGAAATAACAACATTTTCGGTGGTTCCGACAATCGTCGAGGGTATCTATTTTTTTTTGTTTATTTTTGTTTTATTTGGTTGGGGCGGGGGTAGTTCGATAGCACTGCTGAGTGTCAAGGAGGGACAATCGTTATGCATAAACACGCTGTCCCCTCAAAATTGACATCATTTATAATTTTAATATCTGAGTAACTACATGTCCCAGGAAAACGAAATTAAATAGGTTTCATATTGAACAATAAAAGATTTATCTCTCAAAATACGAACAAGGTATTGAAAGGGATGCAAATTTTAGAACTGATTTCACAAAGCTTCATTAATGTTCAACATGCGCACCACCTGTGACACAACACACATCAAGTCGGGAGCCCAGCAGCTGTCAAACACGCTGTAGCATGTCTGGCGTAACATTCTCCAGCGTCTCGGGGATTTTCTGCTTTATTTACTCTAGCCTTTGTAGGAAGAGGTGACTTGTCCTTTCATGTAGTTTTATTGAAAAAATTGCAGTCAACTTAGATTTTATATATTTTGTTAACATTTGAGGTTATAATTTGAGTGATAACTGGGTAAGTTATTAGGCTACAAAATAATGCCAGTTTTGGTGGGGACACCCTGTATATTATATATTTGATTAAAGGACATATAAATATTTGTTCAGAAATGTTCTATTTAATTTTTCTTACTGTCTCACAAGTTTTCTTTACAGATTGTTCAACATCATATATATATATATATATATGTGTGTGTGTGTATGTTTGTGTGTGTACACACACACACACACATATATGTCTCTGTGTGTGTGTATATATATATGTGTGTGTGTATATATATATATATATGTGTGTGTGTGTACACACACACATATATATATATATATATATATATATATATATATATATATATATATATATATATATATATATATATATATATATATATATATATATATTGAAAGTGAGGAAACTCGATAATATTTCTCGCGACGATTGTCAGCCACCTGAGCCATTTTCCGCGGGTAAGGATATGCTTGATGCGGACGTTGCTTTCTACGTCGTCTTATTCTGATAGTTTTAGCTTCAGATTTTGAATTTCAGTATTTTTTCCATTAAATGTAAGAAAAGAGTGCTGAATTCCTATCTATTATGGCAGTGAATGTTATACGATCTCACCATCGATGAAGAGGAAACTGAAATCAAGCGAAATGTATTTCTACAGAAGGATACTGTGAATTTTATGAAGCGATCGAGTAAGCAAGAGGAAGTTTTAAAGAAAATGCTATGAAAAAGAAGACTTATGCACAGAATCAGAAAGAAACACATACTGAGAAAGAGGGTTTATGAAAGTAACACTCACGCAGGGCATATAAAGAGAGCGATAGCGTGTGTGAATAGGTGGAAGAACAAGCTACTGTTAAAGCCCACAAGGATTGGGGAGTTGTGAAGAGTCATGCCCCCCATATGAAGAGAGATGACAAGAAAAAGTAATAGAAATAACTTGGAGATATACATCTATAATCGTGAGCGATAACAAACAGCTTTGGGATTATATATAAAAGGGGTCGGTTGCCTGTCGTATCGAGACTGACCACAAGTTTGACATAAAAATATGCTAATATGAGCATAGGAGAAAAGAATTCACTACAGCGAAAATGTATACAGAGTCCATTGATGCCTTTATAGAAGGTTCATCTACAGTAAATATATGCCATGGCTCTTATAACATTTGACCATTCCTGGCAGATTTGAACATTCCTGGCAGTCTGAGATATCTATTAACAAAAATATTGGAAAAAAGGAAAAAGAATGAAATATTCTAGTCGGAAAAATAAATAAAAATGTAATTTACAAATATTTAATTCCGGGCATCCATCTTTCGTGGGCACGTGTAGACGCACCATCATAACAAATTTAGACTGATGAAGGACTAAAAGATGAAGCAAGTCAGAAGACAATTTGATTCAATGTATATATTCCAGCTCATGTGAATGGACAGTGTGAGACCAAGCAGGCGTAACGAGGCGCTCTCAAGGAGTTGTGAATCAATCATTCTGTTGGGAAGCAGGAAGGGTTTTTTGCGTTAACACGCGCACAAACATATATATAAGGATAAATTTACTCGATCGCCTGTAATAATTGTCAGAAAAAATACACAGCAAAACCTGAAGGAAATTAAATAAAAGATTGTAGGAACATCAAAGAAAAATTTGACCAAACAATAACTCAGATGCCTCGGTTACACACCATAACGAGGCTGGCCACAATTTTGACATAAAAATATGCTAATCTGTGTATAGGAAAAAAGGATTCACTACAGGGAAAATGTATACAGATTCCCTTGATACTTTGATAGAAGGTTCATCTGCAGTAGATATATGCCATGGCTTTTATAACATTTCAATATTTCTGACAGTTTTGAACATTCCTGGCAGAACTATTATCACTGTGTGAGGTATTTACTAACAAAAATATTGGAAAAAAGGAAAAAGAATATAAAATAAAATAGGCTAGTCAGAAAAATAAATAAAAATGTAATTTAAAAATATTTAATACCGAGCATCCATCTTTCGTGGGCACGTGTAGACGCACCATCATAACAAATTTAGACTGATGAAAGACTAAAGGATGAAGCAAGTCAGAAGACAAGTTTTCCTCATTATCATATATCTTCCCCAATATTGTTACTGATATATAACAATATTTATATTAATAAAACACATTCACACACTCATTATATATACAAAACTTTTGCTAAGAATGTGAAGAGTTTGCAAGTTGGTAATTAAGGTAGGCGGTGATTTATTATATTGTCAAAAACAAAATATGATGCTGTTGCATATTAGTTTTATAGTTTAACCTCATTTTATATCATATATATATATATATATATATATATATATATATACGTCAAATACGTTGGTTTCCCACCGCAAC